CGCTCCTGTAATGGGCACTGCTGCGAACTGCCTGATCCCCTTCCCCAGGCCACCTCCAGCTGCTGCAGTGACTCACAACTGCCCCTGCTCATGAGAACTGCCCTTGGCCAATGGGAGCCATCTCCCCAGCAGCCCCCTGCCAGTGACTGGCTGATATGAAGAAACAAGAAGCCAAGCCACTTGTCTCAAGGGGAGCTCACTGTGGTGCAGTTCATGCTCCAGCGCTCCCTGTGGGGCCAGGCTGTACCTGCCAGGGCCACATCCCTACTTAGCTCTTCTGCTGTCTCCTCCTTTCTCCCCTTGCTTTTTCCTGAGAGCACATCCTCAGGAAATCAATGACATTTGATTTCCTGTCTTAGGTTCTACTTCTAAGGAGTCCCAATCTACCATCACTCTCTATTCTCCCCCGCAGCCACACTCCACACCTGCCAGTCCTAGAACTAAGGCATCTGCCAACCTCAAGGCCTTTGCACTTGCCATTCCTTCTGCCTGGCACGATTTCCACCAAATATCTGAGTGACTGACTCCCTCAGCTCCTTCAGGTCTTTACTTAAAAGCCAGCTTTTCATCAAGATCTTGTTTTGGATTTTTTTTTTTAACAACCCATTTAAAACTACAAACCCATCCAACACTGCTTTATCCCTTTCTTCTGCATGTACCATATAATATAATAACAGCAAGTACTTATGTAGTGCTTAAAGTGTGCTGGGCACAGGTCTAAGTGTTTAACACTAATTAAATGTAATCCTCATGACAAACCTCAAAAGTTTTCATTAAACCAATTTTACTGATGAGGAAACCAAGGCACAGAGAAGTTAAGAACTCCCTCAAAGGTCATACAGCTTGTAAGTGATGGAACCAGGCTTTGACCCCAAGCTGTCTGGCTCCAACACGGTGTCGCTACACTGCATTAGCATATTTACTTACTTTACTTGTTTATTTACTTTATTTACTTATTTGTTTTGATTAATGCATATCTCCTTCCACTAAAATATAAGCTCCTTGAGGATACAGATTTTTGTCTTCTTGGTCCACTGCTGTGTCCCACAGCACCTAGAGAAGTCTGGGTACCATACTCAGCCCTTGAATATTTATTAAACTATGTACCTTCTGTGTCCTCAACCCGTCTTCTTTCTGGATTCAAGAGAGAAAACAAATTATTATAAAGTGGATTGGTTCTTCTACTTTCAGCCAGTGTTCAGATTGATAAAATAAGCACCTCTTCCTTCCCATCTTGATTGAGCTCTGTAACAAATTGGATGCCATATTTTATGGCTCACAGCGATTGTTTAAATGTCTGGCTTCCTTTGTAAAACCATGAGTGACATGCTGCCATGTTACTGTTGGCTAAGATAACGATCTCTAGCATCCTGAACACCAGAGTTTGCAGTGATGTTGTCAAGTTTTTTACCAGAGACAATCGAAATTGAGAGAAGAGCTGCGTAAATCTAAGCAGAAAGTTCATGGCCAAAGTCATTTAGTCACACAATGTAGTGCTGTTCGTTGGGGCTTCAGGGAACTCCCAAAATAGCATCACATCCACATTCTGAACCACCTGGGAAATAGGCCCAAAAAATAAGATGCATGGAAATCAAAATATCATGTTTACAACTAAGAAAGCTGATATTGCGGAATGTGGCTTAGATTTAAGAGCCAACTGGGTTTCCTAACATTAAACCCCAGAACTAGAAAGCTTGCCTATGGATGGCCACAGACCTCCCCAGGGACGGCCCTGACCCTGTAAACCTACAGCCTGGAGGAATCAAAGCAGACACACCTTTTCTACAAGTCCCCAGCTCCCAGGAGGACTCAAGAGGACACATTTTATCTGCAGGTCAACAGGTCTCAAGAGGAACTGAGAGGAAAGGGCTGGCCCTTCTATCCAATTTCTCCTCTACACTCACCAGTTAGACAGGTCACTACATATTCCGCCCCCCCAAAAAAAGAAGAGCAAAAAAGGTAGAGAGATGCCAAGTGTGTCACAGTTACAGACTGCGACACAGTTATGGACTGTCACAGTTATGGAAAGTCACACATTTCATGATTTGATACCTTGCACTAAAATTTCCCATCAGTCAAAATTCATGTGCTGTAGCTAGCTAAGTCTCTCTGCTTATTTTCATGAAATTCAAGAGAACTGGATAGGTCTCTTTATAAACATAAACTATAGTATCCTAATGATATCTGTGTTATGCTATTTATACATAGCTCAAACGTCCTGGGCATTTTTTAAATTCTACATTCTCCTTCAAGTGAAAGGAATAATTAAGAGTAGGCATTTCATTCCACAGCAAAATGGGTAATTGGACTACTAAAGGAACTAAAGTGACATTTTTGCTTTATGAATGTGGCGTCACCAAATATCTAATAGATTATTATGATTACCATTTCGTTTCTTAGTTATCAGAGCTAAAGCTGTATTGAAACTGCAGCGTTATACAGTGAGGGGTAAAACTTTAAAAATAATTCCGTCAACTTCTCTCCTTAATACAGATAACAAACCAGAAGGGTTGAATAATTTGTCCTGTAACAAAAATCTGGCAGGTTAGAACCAGAGCTGTAACTCCTGTTTATTTTCAGTCCAAATATTTTATCCATCCAATGGGCTGTTTTCAGCTTGTCATCAAATTGTCTCTAGTGTCAAGAAAGAGAGGAAAAAGAAACCCTTCACTAATAAAAAAGCAAAAACATAACATACATGTCTATTTCATAGCCAAGATTACAGGGAGGCAGTAAGAAGATGAGGTGTTCAAGAAAACAGAAATCATTTCTCTAAATGATGTAAAATAAGGGCTTCATCAGCTTTCACTGTACCTTTCATGATTTGATACCTTGCACTAAAATTTCCCATCAGTCTAAGCTCATGTTCTGTAGCCAGCTAAGTCTCTCTGCTTATTTTCACGGAATTCAAGAGAACTAGATAGGTCTCTTTATAAAAACATAAACTATAGTATCCTAATGATATCTGTGTTATGCTATTTATACATAGCTCAAATGTCCTGGGCATTTTTTAAATTCTACATTATTATGAAACATATTGCAGCTTTTTTTCAATGAATGGTAGAAGAAATTAGTGCTAGTCTCAGTATCTCACAGGAGAGGGAAATCTTATTTCAAGATTCTTTCGCTTTCTAGGCCAGGCGCAATAGCGCATGCCAGTTATCCCAGCACTCTGGTAGGCCTAGGTGGATGGATCACTTGAAGTCAGGAGTTTAAGACCAGCCTGGCCAACATGGTGAAGTCCCATCTCTACTACTAAAAATACAAAAATTAGCCAGATGTGGTGACATGCACCTGTAATCCCAGCTCCTTGGGAGGCTGAGGCAGGAGAATCACTTTAATCCAGGAGTTACAGGTTGCAGTGAACCGAGATCATGCCACTCACTTCAGCCTGGACAATAGGGTAAGACTCTATCTCAAAAAAATTTTTTTTCACTTTCTATAATGCAATATGCATGCATAAGGGCTTTAAAATAGGGCACAGTGGCCAGGTACAGTGGCTCATGTCTGTAATTCCAACAGTTTGGGAGGTGGAGATGGGTGGATCACCTGAGGTCAGGATTTTGAGACCAGCCTGGTCAACATGGTGAAACCCTGTCTCCACTAAAATACAAAAAGTAGTCAGGTGTGGTAGCACGTGCCTGTAAACCCAGCCACTCCAGAGGGGGAGGCACAAGAATTGCTTAAACCTGGGAGGCAGAGGTTGCATCCAACCAAGACTGTGACACTGCACTCCAGCCTGGGCAAGAGAGAAACTCTGTCTCAAAAAAATAAAATAAAATAAAATAAAATAGGGCACAAATATAAACATCAATTATCACTGGGTTTGAAAATTAAAATAAGGAATGAATTCAGTATAAATATGCAGTATGATAATAGTAATTGTTTTGATTTTACATATCCATGGTTACTGCTGAAGGTATTTCATTTGTTTATCCCCATACTTTTCAATTATGAAAAGTTAGTACTGTATTTCAAGTTACAGAAAGTTTATGTAGATACAGAAACTAAAGAGAAATCTTAACTGTTTTAAAATTCCTTACTCAACTACTTGCCTGTGTAACTTCATAAATAGCAACCCTGTTCATCCAACCCATGACTTGTGGGTTGGAAGTACCCATGGCTGTGATGTAAGGAGATGAGGGTGCCTCTGCATGCTTGCTCTGGGCTGCCCAAATATGTTAGGCCATTGCAGAGACTGTCATTCACTGAGGTAAGAGAGCAGTTTGGTTGCTAAAGGAGTAAAAGCCTTACCTAATGAACTACAGGCTTCACTAGCAAATTTAGGTTATTTTATTATGGAAATGCACTGTGGTGTTCCGTTGTGTGGCAATTGTTGCAGATATCTATAACAACAACAACAAAATAGTCCAGCCAGGCTGGTGATCCTGAATTGTAACAGGTATGGACCCACGTTTATAAAGTTTGCCTAGGATAAATGATGCTTTGAAAAGATATCAAGAAATGTGTGTGTGTGTGTGTGTGTGTGTGTGTGTGTGTGTGTATGTGTGTGTGTGTGTTTTGAGGAAGGTTAAGGAAATAGCTGGTTCAAAGAGAGTGTGGGGTTTTTGGTTTTATTTTGTTTTTTATTTGAGACAGGGTCTTACTCTGTCACCAGGCTGGAGTGCAGTGGTGCAATCATGACTCACTGCAACCTCAAACTCCTGGGCTCAGCAATACTCAAGCAATACTCCTGCCCCAGCCTCCCCAGTAGCTGGGACTCCAGGCATGAGCCACCATGCTTTTTTTTTTCTGGACAAGTCCAGATTTAGAGCCAAACTTCTACTCTCCAGGCACTTATGATCAGCTTCGGGACCTTTGTTTCTTCTGGAAAAACAAATCAGTCTGTAGGGCTAAATTTCTAAGTAGAGGGGCTAGAATGCTGCCTAATCATGGGAAAAGTGTTTACCAATTCTACTGCTAACCTCAACTGTGTGTCAATATTTCATAATATTCACAGCAAAGATTTCGATGTTTTATTCACGTTACTATCCCCACACCTGGAACACAGTCTGGTGCCTAATAAATGCTCAATAAATATTGGCTGGATGAAGAAGTCATCAATGATTCTAAATTACAACCTCACCTTATCACAGCTGCAGTGTGACCTTGAGCCAGTCATTTGTCCTGTCCATTTCAGTTCTCTCAAGACAAATGAAAGCACGAGCAGGCCCTGGGTGGTGTGAGAAGTAGATGAGACATCTCATGTAAAGCACTTCAGCACAGTACTTGCATTCAATGTCAGATTTTAAAAATTATTTATGTTATTTTAAATAATGTTTTGCTTTTATGAAATTATCATATAAGCCAGGCGCGACCGCTCACACCCGTAATTCCAGCACTTTGGGAGGCTGAGGCAGGTGGATCACGAGGTCAGAAATTCAAGACCAGCCTGGCCAACATAATGAAACCCCATCTAAACTACAAATGCAAAAAATTAGCCTGGCATGGTGGCGAGAGCCTGTAATTCCAGCTACTCAAGAGGCTGAGGCAGGAGAATCGCTTGAACCCAGGAGGCGGAGGTTGCAGTGAGCCGAGATCACACCACTGTACTCCAGCCTGGGCAACATTACAAGACTCCATTACAGGAAAAAAAAAAAAAAAGAAAGAAATTATTATATAGTAGAATTATAACAAATAATGTTCTAATTTCTGAAGCTGTTATTTTGGTACTGCAGACCTTACAAAATAAATGGTTCTCATAACTTTTTATGACTGTAAATTTTAACTCAGTCATTTAGAATTGTCTGTAATACACACCCATCAAATCTTGAAAATTTTGGTAGCTTCTAGAGGTCAAAGAACTCCCTGTGTTTATATAAGTGAAAGAAAGGAATAGAAAAAATATTCTTAATCTGTACTAAAAATCTAAAATTGAAAAATGACATAGAACACTAAGAAATAAAGTCATTTGTAATGTTAATTAAAGTACAGCATTGCTCCAACTAAAAACCTGAGACACAGTTATAAAACCATATTTACCCTCTTTCTATTCTGCTGGTGACAAAGATAAATTTTAGTCCTAAATCATCATGTGTCAGATTTGCTTGATGGGATATATTTATAAAGGCATCTTATTTTGTATCTGCTAATTTTTTAAAGGAAAAGATGAATTCTAGTCCAATATTCCTAATGAAGATGTTAAATCTTCTGTCAGAAGATTCTAAACCTAGGGGTGTCTTCAATTACCTATTATTTAACTACACTTAAAACTTTAGATTTATAATGGAGCACTAAGCCAAAAGCCCCATTACAACTAGTAAGAGAAAATGTCTTTAGGTCTCACCATTCTTCACCAGCCCCTAAAACATGGAGTCAAACAGTTCTCAATGTAGTGCAAGAGAAAACTCAAAAATGGGTCCCCAAAAATATGGAGTTCACGTGGCTACTAGCAATGTACCAGAAAACCCAAGAAGCTGCACTGAATGTATCAGTCTGTACCAACCCAGCACATGCTAGGATCATATACCTGAATAACTAAAACAAAAACAATGATAATAGGTAAGTCTTATGTATTACTATGTGCCAGGAACTGATTTAATGGCCTTGTGTATATTAAGTCATGTATCCTCACAATTATCCTGTGTGGTAGGTCTACTAATGAGATGATTTTTCTGGGTCCCCACCCAAATCTAATCTGGAATTGTAGCTTCCATAATTTTCACATATTGTGGAGGGACCAGGTTGGAGATAATTGAATTGTGGGGGTGGTTTCCCCTATACTGTTCTCATGGTAGTAAGTCTCACAAGATCTGATGGTTTCATAAGGGGGAGTTTCCCTGCACAAGTTTCCTCTTGCCTGCTGCCATGTAATATATGCATTTCACCTTCAACCACGATTGTGAGGCCTCCCCATCCATGTGGAACTGTGAGTCCATTAAACCTCTTTTTCTTTATAAATTACTCAGTCGCAGGTATGTCTTTATCAGCAGCATGAAAATGGACAAATACAACTAATATACCTATCTTATGGTTGAAGAAACTGAGACACAGACAGGAGAATTACTTTGCCCACAACTGCACAGCTAGCAAAGGGAAGGACATAATCCAGATTCCATGCCCTTTCCCCACCCAAGTGCTGTCTTTACTCATATACTGTAGAAAAGCAGGCATTGGTTTGGTTGGGTCAGCCAATGAGGATCTAATGGGTGAAATAATTCTGTTCTTCCAAATTTTATTCCTTTACATTTGCTTTATTTTTTTATGTGGAAACACTGTAAACTACAGACATCATGGCATTTCATCCCTAAATACTTTAGTATGCAGCTCTAAAAAATAAGAACAGCCTCCATAACCAAAATCGACACTATCATGCCTAACGAACCATAATAATAATCTTAATGAGTTTTAATATCATTTAAGACCCAAGCCATATTCCAATTTCCATAATGTTTCCCAAAATCACTTTTGTAGCTATTTAAATCTACATAAACTGGAATCTAATCTAGGATCACATGTTATAATACATCTGATGGTTGGGTCACTTAAATTGCTTTAACTCTATAAGACCCACTGTTTCTATGACGCTGATTTGCTAAGTGTCCAGAACAGTTGTCTAGTGGAGTCTCTCACCTTCAGGGTTTGCCTGATTGTTTAATCATGGTGTTATTTAGCTTGTTTCTACTTTTCCAGTTATTACCTATCTTTGAAATACCCTTCTGATAGTTACAAGATAAAGAAAATAAATCTACAACACCAAAGGCATGATCTATGAAAAACTGATAAATCAAACTTCATTAAAATTTAAAATGTCAAGGCCAAGCACAGTGACTCATGCCTGCCTGTAATTCTAGCACTTTGGAAGGAAGGTCCTGGAGGGAGGATCACTTGAGCCCAGGAATTCAATGCTATGGTGAGCTATATAATCTCACCACTGCACTCCAGCCTGGGTGACAGAGCAGGACTTTATCCTTAACAACAACAACAAAAACCCTGGCCAGGCAAGGTGACTCACTTTGGGTAATCCCAGCACTTTGGGAGGCCAAGGTGGGCGAATCATGAGGTCAGGACATCAAGACTATACTGGCCAAAGATGGTGAAACCCCATCTCTACTATAAAATACAAAGAAAATAAAAATAGCTGGGTGTGCTGGCAAATGCCTGTAATCCCAGCTACTCGGGAGGCTGAGGCAGGAGATTCATCTGAACTAGGGAGTTAGAGGTTATAGTGAGCCAAGATTGCGCCACTGCACACCAGCCTGGCAACAGAGCGAGACTCCATCTCAAAAAAAAAAAACAAAAAACCTGTTCTTCAAAGACACTGTCAAGAAAATGAAAACACAAGCCACAGACTGGGAGAAAATATTTGCAAGACAATCTGATGAAAGACTACCTTAAAAATATACAAAGAACTCTTAAAACTTAACAAGAATAAAACAACCCAAGTAAAAAATGGACTAAAGAACCTAACAGATACCTCACCAAAGATGACACATAGATGACATCTGTATATATATATATATATATATATATATACACATATAAATATACAAATATGTATATAAATATTTGTGTTTGTATATATATGCAAGTACAAATATATACACAAATCTTTGTGTATATACACATACACAAAGATACTCAACTTCATATGTTTCAGGAAATTGCAAATCAAAAGAACAAATGAGCTATTACTATGCACCTGTTAGAATGGCCAAAATCTAGAACAATGACAACACCAAATACTGGTGAGGATTTGGAGCCACAGAACATCTCATTCATTGCTGTGAAAATGCAAAATGGTACAATCACTTTGGAAAACAGTTTGGAGATTGTTTAGGAAGCTAATGATACTCTTATGATTCAGCAATCATGCTCCTTGGCATTTATCCAAAAAAGTGAAAACTTATGTTCACACAAAAACCTGCACATGGATGTTTATAGCAGTTTCATTTGTAACCGCCCAAACCTGGAAGCAAACAAGATGTCCTGCAATAGGTGGATAGATAAATAAACTGTGGTCCAACCAGACAAAAGAATATTATTCAGCACTAAGAGGAAATGAAAAAGCATTATCAAGCCATGAAAAGACATGGAGGAAATTTAAATGCATATTGGTAAATGAAAGAAGTCAATCTCAAAAGGCTGCATGCTGTACAGTTCCAACTATATGACATTCTGGAAAAGGCTACAGTAAAAAGATCAGTGGTTTCTAGGAGTTCAGGGGAAGGAGGAACAAACAGGGAGAGCACAGAGGATTTTTAGGGTAGTGAAACTACTCTATAAGATTCTACAATGGTGGACACATATCATACATTTGTCCAAAACCACAGAAGTACAACACTATGAGTGAACCCTAATGTAGACTATGGAATCTGAGCAAAAATGATGTGTCAGTGTAGGTCCATCAGTTGTCACAAGTGTAGTGCTCCGGTGAGATACGTCGATAATGGGGGAGGCTATGCATGTTTTAGGACAGGGTATTATGGGATATCTCTGTACCTTTTGCTCGATTTTTCTGTGACCCTAAGACTTTTCCAAAACAAAAAACTCTATTGAAAGCAAAAACAAAGCAAACACAACAAAACCTAGATAAAAGAACATTGAAAGAAGTCGAGGGTGAATTCTTGAGGATTCTGGGAGCGGGGGAAGATAATACATTGAATCTATGGCTCGTGTAGCAGCCTAGAGAAAAAGTCTGAAGACTAGAGAGGAGAATGAGCAGAAACTAAGGACTAAAGGAATGTTGTTCAATTATCTCTAGATTTAATTCATATAAGTGATCCTTGTATGAATAACCACAAGTGATTGAGACTAAAAATAAAACAATAGTCCAAATAACTTGCATTCTGAGCAGGGACTAGAAATTGTAGGTATAAGGCAGCTTTATGACATGGATACCAATATACAAAGCAAGATTTTGAGTTTTTGTCTTCAAGGCTTTATCATATTAGGTGGGGCTTTGTGATGCAAGCTCTCATTGGAGACTTCAACCTATTCACAGACAAAGTGTAAAGTAGCAAGGCTTAGTCACATTAGCAACCTACAATGTATACTAGTGCGATATAAATTCAGCTTGTTGCTAGTTTGCAGTCATAAAAGTCTTTTGAATCCTTGTTCAAAGACAACTCATTTGCATGCACTTTAAAAGCTCAGGAAATAGCCATGGAAAACTTTCCTTCAAGGTAGGTAAATAAAAAATGTTGCTATGGGATTATAAAAATAGACTGGAGAAATTTCAAGGTACTTCCATTATTTATTTATTCACCAAGTATTTTACATGACCTGCCTTAGCCAGGACCATGGGCATGCTGTAGATGTGAATTTTAGTTCACTTCACTAGGATTTCTGAAAGGCAGTGTTCTTTTGTGTCTCTAAATAAAGTTACATTTGTTCAGAGTCCCCCTTCACTCAGGAAGTTCAATCTCTAGAATTTGGTGGGGATGGGGGGGCAGGAACCCTTCTTCGTAGGGTCAGGTGAGGGAATCTGGCACAATCTAGAACAGTCTGGAAGATCCTCTGATCTCTTCTGGTTACACCGAACTGGTTGAGGTGTTCAGTGTCAAAATCCATGTGGTCCCTTGAAAGCAGTGGCCCAGTCCTAGAACTTTTGTCGACTGGGAAGTTAAAGGCTTGGTGAACCTTCTCTCTCAGAGGACCATGCAGCTTTTCTGCCATGAGGTCCTGCCACACACCAGCTGTGGGAGGGAAGTGCTGGTCTGCTTTACTACAGGACCTGCACACCTCTGCCTTGCTCCCAGTCTCTCCAAAAGCTTTCAGAACCTTCCCTCCGGGGTTGACCCATTTCTTCCTCTCTCGGTTGGGGCTTCTTTTTTACAACAAAATTCAATGTAGGGGTGATATTCCAGATGCCTGTTGCATACTTTATTTCTGAACTCTTCGTTTATCCCTATAGTGCCAAAATCATTAGTCCTAAACGTAAGGACACATGGTGACTTTCTTGGAATGGGGAAGGGAGAATCCTTACCATTCATTCAGGCTGCTGAAAGAGTACGTAACTCAAATTAAAACCTCAATGTGCTTTTCTAGTCACAGAAGTGAAGGCGAGAAAGACAGCCCCTGCCTTCAGGTATCTCACATCCTAGAAGAGAGGCAAATAAAGACGTCATCAAAATACAGCACACAGGAGAGATTCCTGCCTCAGGGGCCAGAGAGGGAGAATTTTCCTGGAGGAAATGGTTATGAACACTTAAACAACACTCCCTGTGTTCCAGGCACTATGCCAAGCAATTATTTATATACAGATATAGAGTGGGGCTATCACGGAGCCCAGGTAGTCTGTGTTCCTGCTTAAATTCCTAGGCTTTAAGGGATATCCCCAATGGGACCCAAAGAATAGGCATAGGCTTGCCATGGCAGAGAGTGTAGGTGCCTGGTGGAGGGAATAGGGTGGACACAGTGCAAAGATGCCCTGAGAGGCGCTCTGAAGAGGGAAGCTGAAATTGAACCACCTGGAGCAGTTACAGCTTAGGCCCTCCCCACGTGGACTGCCAGGATACTGACGCTTGTTTCCCTAATGCTGAGAAAAGTCAATCAGACAAAGTGGGCTGACTAGGGTAACAAACGGATTTTCAAAAATTCCTCTGCGAAAGCGAGTCTTCCCCCAACATTCTATCAAGATCTTGATTGCTAAGCTTATTAGATTTTGATTACTAAGCCTCTTGTCTAAAATGGAATTATCCCCTGCAAGGAGCTAAATCTGTGGTTCGAATTTACATCCTGCTGTGAGTCATTTTCTCCAGCAAATCAAATTGCTTTTCTCCCACCCACACCATAGCCAGGTGCGAAGGTTGCTACCTAAAGAGAGGCTGCGGACAGATAGCAGGACAGGAAGCTGACAATGCACACTTGTGATGGGATCAACAAATCTGCCGCAGGGTATCACCGGCCTCTGCTTAACCACATATTCTCTCTGCTACACAAGGATCATTTTGTTTTCTGCATTCAAAGGCTTTGATTATCATGGGCTGCAGAAAGCAGTTCTGGAATATTAAAGTAGTAAATTTACTTTCAGGATGTCTGTTATCAGCAGGTGTGAGTAAAATAAAGGATAGCCTTTGGGACGCCGAGGTGGGCGGATCACCTGAGGTCAGGAGTTAGAGACCAGCCTGGCCAATATGGTGAAACCCCTGTCTCTACTAAAAATACAAAAATTAGCCAGGCGCAGTGGTGCACATCTGTAGTCCCAGCTACTCGGGAGGCTGAGGCAGGAGAATCGCTTGAACCCAGGAGGCAGAGGCTGCAGTGAGCCGAGATTGTGCCACTGCACTCCAGTCTAGATGACAGAGCAAGATTCCATCTCAAATAATAATAATAATAATAATAAAAGATAGGCTTGATGCAAGGAAGACTGGAGACAGAAGTAAATCAATGTTCACTCGTCTTCATTCTTCAGACTTTCCCTATTTGTGTCAAAATTATGATTGTTGGGGCCTGCTTCACCTCTTGCTGAGTCTGGCATCCTGAACATCAAATCCAGATGAAGCTGAAGCAGCCAGAACTCTGGGTTGATGGCCCAAAAGCTCAAGCTGAGAACTGGCAAGGTGCCTCGCCCTAAAGCCGTGCCAGCTCAAAAGGGAAAGTAGAACCTGCGGTCCATCTTTGTGTGACACCTCATTTAAACCCAAGTGCTCTGCTTTTGTGAGACTTGACATAATTTATTCCTCAGAGGGGGAATGAGTGATTCATAGAGCCCGTCACAGAGGTACGCAGATGGCAAGTTGAGCTGGAATAAGACAAAGAACGGCAGGATGCCGAGGCCTCCTCTTGCCACCCCATGAACACCCAAGATGTCCCCGACACACACATGAAACCTGTCCGCATCAGGAACCCAGCCGGAGCCCCTTTTACAGAGCAGAAAGAGGTGGTTGTGGGTGAGCCCTGGGCTCCTAGGGGCATCAATCAGATTTCCACCTGCATTTTTTTTCTTTAAGAGACAGGATCTCCCTCTGTAACCCAGGCTGGAGTGCAGTAGAGTGATCATGGCTCACTGCAGCCTCAACCTCCTAGGTTTAAGCAATCCTCCTGTCTCAGCCTCCTGAGCAGCTAGGACTACGGGTGTGTGCCACTACAGCTCGGTAATTTTTTAAATTTCTTTAATATTTTGTACAGACAGGGTCTCATGTATTGCCCAGACTGGTCTTGAACTGCTGGCCTCAAGTGATCCTCCTGCCTCAGCCTCCCAAGGTGCTGGGATTACACAGCGAGCAGTCTCATTTTAATCTTTAATCCATCCCCATCGCTCCCCCACTAGGGCTTGCTATTCAGCCAACCGCACTGAACAGCACTCTCTCCTGCCCCACCAAGCTACTTGTCCAGGTCTCTCCAGGTGTCTGTATCTATTTCTTGTTATGCATCAGTCTATGCATGTCCTCTGCCCAATGAGGCTGCTGGAGACATAACATATCACAGAGGTTAAGAATATGAGCTCTGGGACCGAGCGACTGCAGTCTGAATCATGGCTATACCACCTCCCAGCTATGATCTTGGCCATGTTACTTATCTTTTCTGTGCCTCATTTTTTCTACTTATAATGTTGGGATAATAGCATGTATTTCTAGGGTTGTTTAAAAGACCCTGCAGTGAGTCTGTTAAGAAAGAAAGGAAACTGTTCAGCTCCCACTTATGAGTGAGAACATGCAGTGTTTGGTTTTCTGTTCCTGTGTTATTTTGCTGCAGATGATGGTTTCCAGCTTCACCCATGTACCTGCAAAGGACATGAACTCATTCTTTTTTATGGCTGCATAGTAATCCATGGTGTATATGTGCCACATTTTCTTTATCTAGTCTATCATTGATGGGCATTTGAGTTGGTTCCAAGTCTTTGCTATTGTAAATAGTGTTGCAGTAAACATATGTGTGTATGTGTCTTTATAGTAGAACAATTTATAATCCTTTGGGTAAATACCCAGTAATGGGCTTGCTGAGTCAAATGGTATTTTTGGTTCTAGACCCTTGAGGAATCACCACACTGTCTTCCACAATGGTTGAACTAATTTACACTCCCACCAACAGTGTAAAAGTGTTCCTTTTTCTCCGCATCCTCACCAGCATCTGTTGTTTCCAGACTTTTTAATGATTTAAATATAGCCATCTATTTTTTTTGGGGGGGGGGACAGAGTCTCACTCTATAGCCCTGGCTAGAGTGCAATGACACGATCCTGGCTCATTGCAACCTCTGCCTCCTGGGTTCAAGCAATTCTCAAACCTCAGCCTCCTGAGTAGCTGGGATTACAGGCGCCTGCCACTGCGCTCAGCTAACTTTTGTATTTTTAGTAGAGATGGGGTTTCACCATTTTGGCCAGGCTGGTCTTAGACTCCTGACCTCATGATCCATCCGCCTCAGCCTCCCAAAGTGCTGGGATTACAGGTGTGAGCCACTGTGCCCAGCCAATGGTCACCATTCTAACTGGCATGAGATGGTATCTCATTGTGGTTTTGATTTGCGTTTCTCTAATGACCAATGATGATGAGCTTTTCTTCATGTTTGTTGGCCACATAAATGTCTTCTTTTGAGAATTATCTGTTCATATCCTTCACCTACTTTTTGATGGGATTGTTTTTTTTTTTTTTCTTGTAAATTTGTTTAAGTTCCTTGTAGAGTCTGGATATTAGATCTTTGTCAGATGGACAGATTACAAAAATTTTCTTCCATTCTATAGATTGCCTGTTCACTCGGATAATAGTTTATTTTGCTAAGCAGAAGCTCTTTAGTTTAATTAGGTCCCATTTGTCAATTATGACTTCTGTTGCAATTGCTTTTGTTGTATTAGTCATGAAGTCTTTGCCATTGCCTTCCACACAAGGAGGGAAATGTCACACACCAGGGCCTGTTGAGGGGGTGTGGGGAAAGGGGAGGGAGAGCATGAGGACAAATACCTAATGCATATGGAGCTTAAAACCTAGATGACGGCTTGATAGGTGCAGCAAATCATCATGGCACATGTATACCTATATGACATATCTGCACATTCAGCACATATATCTCAGAACTTAAGTAAAATTAAAAATAAATAAAATTTTTAAATGCAATTTTAACATGTAACTTTACTGTTAAAAGCTTCTATCTGAGAAAAAGAAAAACAGAAACAAAAAAAGGAAAAGGGAAGCAAGGTAGGGAGGGGTAGAGGAGGGAGGGAGAGAGGGAAAAGAAAGATAGTGAGCCTCTTGAAATAAAGGACCATGTATTATTCACTTTTTTCTTCTGTGCCTCATTTAGTTCATTCATTATCATTACCATTCATGAGTTCATACAATGTGCCAGTTACTGAAAAAGATCAGTCCTTGACTGCCCTGACCCTCAAGGAACTCACAGTCTAGAGAGAATGCCAATGAATAACATCAGTGGCTGTGATAGTGTGAGGACAGCCAAGGGACAGCAGGGCCACATTGCTCTGAAGTTCATCACTCTGGATCCCAGGTTCAAATTCTACTGTCGTTTCCTGGCTGTATGACTGAGTAAGTTATTAGCACCACTCGGGACTGCTGTGTGGATGAAGTTAAAAGATAATGAGAGCCTGGACAACATAACAAAACCCTGTCTCTACAAAAAAAAATAATTTTTTAAAATTAGCTGGTGTGATGGTGCATGCCTATAGTCTCAGCTACATGGGAGGCTGAGGCAGGATGACTGCTTGAGCCTGGAGGGAAGGAAGAAGAAGAGCCAGGCATATTGGTGCACATCTATAGTTCCAGCTACTCAGGAGGCTGAGGCAGGAGAATTACTTGAGCCCAGGAGTTCCAGGCTATAGTGTGTCATGATCAAGCCTGTGAATAGCCACTGCACTCCAGCCTGAGCAACGTAGGAAGACTCCATCTCTAAAAAGGAAAAAAAGAATAAGGTCATGGGAGACCAGAAGCACAGCTGACACATAGTATTTAAAGCATGTTAGCTATGAATGTTACATTTATGTACATATATATGCATAATAGATACATATATAACATATATGTGCACACACATATGCATAACAGGTATCCACTGCAGAGTGCAATGGGAGCACGGAAGGTGAGAAACTAAACTTGAGTCTGCAAAGCTTCCAAAAGGAGGTGACCCCAGTGCTCAGTCTTCAAGAATGAGTAAGAGAGAGGCGGAGAAGCAGAGGAAGGCTGATTCAGGCTGACGCTCCAGTGCACATAAAAGCGTGAAAGGAGAGAACATGAGTCACTCCAGAAGGCCCTACGAGGGCCTCAGATAAACGCACCGGAGAGGCAGGCAGGAGCTGAATCACGCAGGGCCCTGCAAATGAATTCAGACCTTGCCTGAGGTCAGTGCAGGGCTGTGGAAAGAATTCAAGCTGGAACCTGCCATGGACGGTTTGACACTTTTTAAATCAATCATGTTTTCATAGCATTAGCCAGTGATAACCAACTTCGGATCAGGTCATGATCCCAAGGCCCTGCAGAATGCTGAAGCAAAGTCCAAAAAAGGCTCTGTCGAGGGCCATAGACGTCTACGGCAACGTGTATTTATTCTACTTCTTTGGGAAGTGATAAATCCTTTGTGGAAAAGACTCATCTCTTTTTCTATTATCTTTGAAAGTGCTAGAACAATACATGGACATATCAGATTTGCCCAACAAATACCGATTGGTCATAACCAATGCACATTACATATGATGACTTCTAGCTATTTAAGGTAGTTAACGGACTATTTGGTGGCAAGTAGAGATGAGGGTGCGAGCATAGCAAGATATTGAAGGACAAATGCCATTAGGGTATTTGTTAGAGGGTGGACTTCAGTGACATGGAGGGCTGTTCATTTAAATCACAAAACCTATTAGAAAGCTGTTCTGTTCAGACCACAAAATGGCAGAAGCTTTTTCTGACTTCTGGTAATAAAATGTGAAATTAGCAATAGAATTATATTCCTTTAATTTGGAGGTGGAAAAAGGAGTGAAAAGAAAATAAGACACACTTTAGTGGGGGGAGGAAACAGTGAATCCATGGAGGAATGTGGTCTGGAGGATCTACTAGGGAAATGAACCCTCCAAAACAACAGTATCTTGACAGTCATTGAACCCAGGCCCACTTATTCATTTATTCATTCAACAAATATTTATTGAGCTCCTTCTAAATCTAAGATGCTACAAAATGGTGAACAAAACTGACTCCATATTGTTCTGTACCTCATGAAGATTACACTGAAGCAGGGAAAACAGGCTTTCTATAAATGAACACACTGATAAGCCCATAATGAGTTGTGATAAGTGCTTTGAAGGAAAACAATAGTGCCCTGTGCTATGAGAAAGAAGAAAGGCCTGCCTTAAGCTGTTGTGGGAAGTAGAAAAGCTCCTTTTTAAAGTTTCCTTTCTTGTTAAAAAATAAGTGTACTGATAACTTTGTTAAGCCCTATCCTATGTAGCTGTTAGACATGCCATGCTTACAGGCACATAGCACATTCTATGACATTGTACTTTAACCAAGATATCTCTGCTGGATGTGCTCACAGGCATGTCCCAGCTCTCCATTGCTTTCACCTGTTTAGAAAAGTTTTAAGTTATTAGCCAATTGGGTTTTAGTTTAGATTGTGAGGTCTGGCTCCAGCCAATGGAAATCAGACCCAGCAGTAAGGACGACCCAAAATGCGTAAGGGATAAGTTTGTGTGTTTTCCTTTGTTCATTGTACTCTCGTGGCAAGATGGCTAGCGAGAGTAGTCTTCCTCCAGGAAATAAAAATTGTGTTGCTGAAAAATCCTTTGTCTCAGTGCTAATTTCTCTTTGCTGCACAGAGCATCTGTTTCCAACAGCAGGGGCCCAGCAAAATTTTCCTGGGGAATAGTCAAAAAGCATAAGTAGGAAAAAGCCAGGACAGGACAGATCGGGAGAGTCTGCAGGTGGGCGTGGAAGGGAGGCTTAAGGTGGAAAAGAGCTGTGTGAATGTGAGGAACAACAAGTCAGTGGTGTGGATGGGGGAGGCGTGAGGAAGAGGGGGCCACTGTGGAGAGGCCGAGGCCACAGATACAGGGACCAGTTTACTGAGTAGGAAAAGGTGAGAAATGAAGAGGGCCTTCAATGGAACTCCACAGCCTCTCTCCAAGTCAACATACCAGGTCAGTACTGGCAGCTCAGCCCAGAAACGGTTGTCAGCCACAGCTGGGGTAACTGTGTGCAGAGGTGTTTGAACCAGAGCCATTCTATCTTGAATAGGGACCGAGTAAAATAACGCTGAAACCTACTGGGCTGCCTTCCCAGGTGGTGTGGCATTGATAGTCACAGGATGAGATAGAAGGTCGGCACAAGGTACAGGCCACAAAGACTTTGCTGATAAAACAGGATGCAGTAAAGAAGCCAGCCAAAACCAGTCAAAATCAAGATGGACATGAAAGTGACCTCTGGTCATCCTCACTGCCCATTAAATGCTAATTATAATGCATTATCATGATAAAAGACATTCCCACCAGGGCCATGACAGTTTACAAATGTCACTGCAACTTACCCCATATGGTCTAAAAAGTAAAGGAACCCTCAGTTCTGGGAATTGCCCACCTGTTTCCTGGAAAATTCATGAATAATCCACTTCTTATTTAGCATATAATCAAGAAATAACTGTAAGTATAATCAGTCGAACTGCTCTGCCAGTGGAGTAGTCATTTCTTCTTCTTCTTCTTTTTTTTTTTTTTTTTTTTTTTTTTTTTTTTTTTTTTTTTTTTTTTTTTTTTTTTTTTTGAGATGAAGTCTTGCTCTATCACTCAGGCTGGAGTGCAGTGGCACCATGTTGGCTGACTGCAACCTCTGCCCAGGTTCAAGCGATTCTCCTGCCTCAGCCTCCCAAGTAGCTTGGATTACAGGCGTGCACCACCACTCCTGGCTAAGTTTGGTTTGTTTTTAGTAGAGAGGGGGTTTCACCATGTTGGCCAGGCTGGTCTTGAACTCCTGGGCTCAAGGGATCCACCTGGGTTGGCCTCCCAAAGTGTTGTGATTATGGGCATCAGCGTGAGCCACCGCCCCCGGCCTTTCTTTACTTTCTTAATAAAGTTACTCTCACTTTATGCTTTCACCTCGAATTCTTTCTTGTGCGAAGTCCAAGAACTCTCGCTTGGGGTCTGGATCGAGACCCCTCTCCGATAACAACTGGTATCGGTGTTAAAGTTTCCCCCAAATGTCAGCGGCTTCCCCCTACGAGTCAGAGTTGGGGAGAGACAGGAGGGAAGAGAGGGCCGACAAAGAGCAAAGGAAACAGAAGGCCTGGGAGCCAAGTGGGCCCAGGGTGGACTCCAGACTCCCCTGGCGGCCCGCACAACTCAGATGACCCGTCTGCGAAGTGGAGATCTCAGCGGGCGCGCCACCGGGCTGCGGAAAAGGAGTGCAAGGGTGATGCCCACGCCTGGCCCAGGGCGGGGACGCAATACAAGGCTCTCCCGGCTGCGATTGCTGGAGGAAGGGAGTCCTGTGGAAGACACAAAGGAACTAGAACCGACTCGGTGTCGGGACAAGCCTTGACGGTTGACGGGGTCGGGGGCGGGGGAGGTGTCCGGCAAGAGCTGGGTTTCAGCCTGGGTTGCCCACGACAGCGAAAGCGACTGGCAGGTGGCGGTAGGGTGACTTCTTCAGCTTAAGTGCTTAGCGGGCAGGCGAAGGGGCGGAGCAAGAGAAGAAAACACAAAGGACCGGGAGGAAGCCGGGGAGACCGGTGGGGGCCGCGGGCCGCGGTGCAGTCGCTGGGGAGCGAGGCCTGCTGGGCTCAGCAACGGGGGACGAGGTCTCGGAGGCGTCCCGGCCCTCACAGGTGAGCCCCCGCTCCAGGGGTGGTGACGGTGGCCTGGGGGAACGCGGAGCCGCGGGGCAGTCCTTTGAAGGCGGCGCGGCGCAGCAGTGGCCGCCCCTCACTCTCACCGGGTTCGGACCCCGGCGGCCCCGGCGCGGGCTAGGGGCTGGGAGGTTTGGGGTGGCCCCGGCTGCCTCTGGCCAGGGACGGCGGCGGACTCCAGGAGGCTGACCCCCGCCTGGCTCCCCTGACCGCATCAGAAAGTGCGGTGTCCCCAGCCCGTCGTCCAGCCCAGCAGGCCCCCGGTTCCAGACCATTCTAAGAAGCACTCCCGCTCCCCATGCTGGTGCGCGCTTTCCTACGCATGTCCGCCGGTCAGCACCCCCGGGTCCCTTCCCCATCACTGAAGAAGCAGAGGGTCCCCGGACCACCCTAGGGTGGGGGGTGGGAGCTACACCTGCAGTCAAGACCCTCGGAAGGCTTCCTCTTAGGTGTGGACTGAGGACTAAGTGGGTCCCAGGGGACCTGGCCACCGAAGCTGAGAGGTATCTTTGCTTCCAAATATAAGACAGTGGCCTACTAGCTAAGCAAAGATAATCTAGTTTGGCCTAGTCAGCAAAGACTTCCTGGGAGTGCTCAGGAATTGGAAGGTGTGCACGGCCTGTCTGACAGCCGCCCCTTCGTACGCACAGCAGCGTGCTTGGTGCTGAGCGGGGCTTTACTGACCTATCCCTCATCCTCATCCTCGTCTTCATCTCTGCCACAGCCCCTCACCGTTGTGTGCATTATGCCCACTTAATAGAGGAGAAAGCTGAGGCACGGACGGATGAAGTCGTTTGTACCAAAGCACAGGGATCACAGGGGAAAGAGTCAGGATTTGAACCCGGGTTTCTCGGACTCGGCACTTTCCTGTGAAGCGTACCATGCTGTCTCTGTAATCACATCAGGCACCTGTGATGAAACTTGGTGGGAGTATGGGTCCCTTTAGCTCAAATGCTTCAAAGTTTAGTAATTGATGTAGGAAACAGAATTGTGTATAAGAGGTTCATTTTGCAGAAGAAAAGCAGCAGTGGCAGAGTTCAGGGCTGCAGAATGCAGTGGCCACTCGGGGCAGGAAGACGCTCAAAGTCCACCTGGGTTATGTCCATCATTGCCAAATCCAAGGTCCACTTTTCTAAGCCATGTGAAGGTGTTGATGATTCACTCCCTCCTTAAGGAATTCCCTCCCCTCTGTATCAGCTATTCCTTCTCAGTCATTTCCTTGGCCTGCTTTTTTTTTTTTTTTTTCAATCTTTCTGCTCTCTCATATCTATGATGGCAGTTCGCAAATTCATCTCTCTAGCCTACCCCTGTTCTGGAACTCCAGAGCCAAATAGTCAAATATTAACAAATATTAACAGCTAATTCTGTTTGCCCCCACAGGCACCCAAATCCAACATTTCCAAACCCATATTTATCCTCTCTGTCAAAGATAGACAGAGCTGAGTTCCAGCCTGGGTTGCCACTAACAGCAAAAGTGACTGCCTGGGGGCTGTAGGATGACTTCGCCAGCTTAAGAGCTGGCGAATTTAGCATATCTATCAAAAATGCTGAATTCCCACCAGGGTCTTTGTTCAGGTCTCTGTAATTCCTTGCCCAGACTAGTGCACCACCTTGCAACCTGGTTCTCCTGTCCCGGAGTCCATCTGCCTTCCACAGATCCTCCTGAAAGCTTAGGAGTCCTAGACCTGACTAGATGGAATGGACCATCCTTCCTTTCCTTCCCTAGCATCCTGTGCATTCCTCAGGGGAACCCTTTTTATGTTGTATGACTGTTGACTTGTCTGTCTCCCTCTGTGGACTATGAATTCCTTCAGCCCTGGTCTTGTCTTATCCTTCTTCATACCCCCAGGCTGGCACATAATTAACGCTCAGTGCACAGTGTTATATTTCACTCCATTCTAAATCTGATCTGTCCCCCATTAGTGAAGGAATGTGTGTATGCTGGTGGAAGAGGGGCACTAGACGTTGAGTTTGCAGATGGGCTAATGACAAAAGGAAAATGAGTTTTCCAAATAACTCCAGTGGATCCTCAGGATGCTTTTAAGCTTGATACAAACATTCAGTCACCGCATAGTGATTCTCTTCTACGGTCCTTAGACACTGGGTCAAGGAGAAAGCAGAGGATAATCAACTGGAAGGAGAGCAAGCACTAAGTCATCATGGCTTCAACGTCTACTCGTGGAAACCAAGATAAAGATCACCATTTGCCACCACCAAGCAAGCAGGTATACTTTTATCTTTATTGATCGATTCATTGAGACAGGCTCTCACACTGTCACCCAGACTGGAGTGCAGTGGTGCAATTATGGCTCACTACAGCCTCAAACTGCTGGATTAAGTGATCCTCCTACTTGAGCTTCTCACTTAACTGGGATGACAGGTGCAGGCCACCATGCCTGGCTAACTATTTTTTTGTGGTTAGGCATGAGGTCTCACTATATTGCCCAAGCTGATCTCAAAGTTCTGGCCTCAATTAATCCTCCTATCTAGGCCTATTGAAATGCTGGGATTACAGGCATGGGCCACCATTCCTGGTCAGGTATAGTTTTAACTGCAGGACCTGCCATCTAAAAAAATATATATCATACAGGATTTTTATTAAATTTCATCCTTAACCAGTATCTTATTTTTTTCAGTATGGCACTTTGTTGGATGGGCTTTTGAAAAAAAAGCCGCTTTTCGAAGCAGCTGAAAAGTGTGTTTTCAGCTACTTTGAAAAGAAGCCTTTTAAAATTTTATTTACAAAATTCTTCCTTTTTACTCTTTCTTCTTTAGAATCCAGGCTTACTAACTCTTAGATGAACTGTCAGTGACTGAAGAGGTTTCTGATAGCAGAGCAAAACTCTTTATAGACTCTAACAGAATGATACATATTGCATTCATTCATTCATTCATTTATAGAGATAGGGGTCCCGTTATATTGCCCCTGCAGGTCTCAAACTCCTGAGCTCAAATGATCCTCCCACCTCAGCCTCCCAAAGTGCTGGGATTACAGGCATGAGTCACCACACCTGGTGACATTTTGCTTATTTTTTTTACATTTTTATTAATATGGATAGTTGCACTAATCCTGTGCTGTTGACAGGTGTTACTGTTCAGGGTGGCAGAGTCTTTAATACTAATTAGCTAGCAGATTGAGAACTCAAGTGTTAACGTGGAAACCATTTTTGAACTTGTTAGGAATGGATACTGTGTATTTCAGGAATATATCAATGAACAAAAGAGAGCCCAGGCACAGTGGCTCATGCCTGTAATCCCAGTGCTTTGGGAGACTGAGGCGGGCAGATCACCTGAAGTTGGGGGTTCAAGACCAGCCTGACCAACCCTATCTCATACAAAATTAGCTAGGTGTGGTGATGCATGCCTGTAATCCCAGCTACTCAGTAGGTTGAGGCAGGAGAATTGCTTGAACCCAGGAGGCAGAGGTTGTGGTGAGCCGAGATCATGCCATTGCACTCCAGCCTAGGCAAGAAGAGCAAAACTCCATCTCTGATGGGTCAGTAGTGTTCATATTCAAGCTGAAAATAGGGTATGGAGGCAGTAATGTTTAAGGAGCAAAATTTAGGCAAGGCAAAGAGACAAATGATAGAAAGTCGCAAGGAGAATTATTTGGATACCTGAGTTGCCTCCGTGAAATGGAGAGTCATCAAACATTCATTGCTATACAGAAAAGGATCACCAGAGCGCCTTTTCTTTTCTTTTTTGAGATGGAGTCTAGCTCTGTCACCCAGGCTGGAGTGCAGTGGTGCCATCTCTGCTCACTGCAACCTCCACCTCCCGGGTTCAAGCAATTCTCCCACTTCAGTCTCCTGAGTAGCTGGGATTACAGGCACCCACCACCACACCTGGCTAATTTTTGTATTTTTAGTAGAGACGAGATTTCACCATGTTGGCCAGGCTGGTCTTGAACTCCTGACCTCAAGTGATCTGCCTGCCTCAGCCTTCCAAAAAGCTGGGATTACAGGCTGACTGCAGGACTAGAAGCAACTGTGATAACCAGGGTGTGTGCATTTGTTTATTAAGGGAAGGCAGTCCTTATTTCTGCCCCAGGCACAGCCAAGAGCAAGAGCAAATATTTACCCTGGGCATCTGGAGGCTTGCATGTGCTAAGGAAGGAAGATAAGTGGAGACTGAGAGCAGCTCCTTCTCCTGCTGCTGTGACTCAGTCTGGGACTTACTGCATCTTTGCCCTATGCCTTGAGGAGTTGCAGAGAGAGAAGAGGGAGGTCGCCGCCTTGGGCTGCTTATAGAGCGCCACAGATGCTGGTGCCACAGGGTTTCTCCAACCCATTCATTGGCATCACACTGTAAAGTGCTTGGCCCAGGACCAGGCCCATACAAAGTGCTCAAGAAATGGTGACCATCCTGCACATTGGCATCTACTACACAGAAAGTCTAAAAAAGACAGTGGCTAGATCAGCACAATCAAACTACACTTCAGGAGTTAAGGAGCTGCACTGCAACCAGAAAAACACAGGTTTTTACCCTGGAGATAAATGGCAAAGAACCCACATAAATAATTCACAAAAAAGGAAATACAAGTGTGACTTTTTTTTTTTTTTTTTTTTTTTTGAGACGGAGTCTTGTTCTGTTGCCCAGGCTGGAGTGCAATGGTGCAATTTCAGCTCACTGCAACCTCTGCATCCCAGGTTCTAGCAATTCCCTGCCTCAGCCTTCCAAATAGCTGGGACTACAGGTGCACACCACTACACCTGCTATACCTGGCTAATTTTTTATATTGTTTTAGTAGAGACAGGGTTTCACTGTGTTGCCAGGCTGGTCTCAAACTCCTTAGCTCAGGCAATCCACCAACCTTGGCCTCCCAAAGTGCTAGGATTACAGGTGTGAGCCACTGTGCCCAGCCTGTGACTTCTATAGTAAAGAAAAAGTTAAATTTAAAAAAAAAATTAATAAGGCTAGGCATGGTGGCTCCTACCTGTAAACCTGACACTTTGGGAAGTCAAAGTGGGACAATCACTTGAGGCCAGGAGTTCAAGACCAACCTGAGAAACAGTGAGATGTCCCCGGCTCTATATAAAAAAAAATTTTTTTTTTAATTAGCCGGGCAAGGTGGTGTGCACTTAAAGTCCCAGCTACTCAGGAGGCTGAGGTGTGAGGATTACTTGAGCCCAAGAGTTCGAGACTGCAGTGAGCTATGATGGCACCACTCTACTCCAGCCTGGGTGACAAAGTGAGACCCTGTCTCTAAAAAAATAAAATAAAATAAAATGGTCAAAATGGCAAATATTATATGTATTTTTCCACAAAAAAATTAGTGAGCCAATACAAAAAGATTACAACCCAGATCCAATTACAGGAATTGCCTGAAAACCAGAGAGAAGGGAGGTGTAGCTGAAGAATATGTAGAGATACTCAAACACATCCATTAGCAAAGAAGTAATTCCAAGTGTGACAAAATTCTTTTGGTGAGCCAAAGATTTCTTCATTTCTTGCATTTGAAGTACTCTTCAATGACATCTTGGTCTGAGACTCCTTGCCATAGGCCTTTTTTGGGGGGACAGAGTCTTGCTCTGTCACCAGGCTGTAGTGTAGTGGCCCAATGTCGGCTCACTGCAACCTCCACCTCCCAGCTTCAAGTGATTCTCCTGCCTCAGCCTCCCGAGTAGCTGTGACTACAGGCGCATGACACCATGCCCAGCTAATTTTTGTATTTTTTTAGTAGAGACGGGGTTTCACCATGCTGGCCCGGCTGGTCTTGATCTCTTGACTTTGTGATGCTCCCGCCCTGGCCTCCCAAAGTGCTGGGATGACAGGCGTGAGCCACTGCGCCTGGTCTCCTTGCCATAGTCCTTAACTACTACAGAGCTGCAACCAACCACTTTACTGGGGTTCCTCTCTCTGTCAGTTTTACAGAGGCTTACACATTCCCCTAGTTTCTTGTCATCAACCTTAATTAGGTTGATTTGGTGTTCAGCACAAAAGGCCTCCGCCAACTTCACATGCATAGGCTCCTCACAGTTGGATGCAAGCACACAAAGATGGGCTTGGTGCTTGTCTAAGGCTTTGGCAGCTTCGCGAATTCCACGTGCTAGGCCATCGTGGATGAGGGCGGTCTTCAGCACCTCTTGTAAAGCATTATTAACGTCCATTACACCTCCAGCAGCAATGCCTTCCTCGGCCACGGCGGTTGGTTAAAGGTGAAGCCAAATCTTGAACGCACCCAAGCCTCCGCTTCTACATGGCGGCAGGGAAAGAGCCAAACGCCTTTCTTTAACTTGCTTGGAATCGTCTTTACCCACGCCTAGCGGTTACACAGGATACGTAGCCGGGAGGGAGTGTTCCGGCCCTGCGGGTAGGGGTGGAGACTGCACAGCCATTGAGGACAGCGGCCTAGCAACTCTCGGTCACAGTAAGAATATACACGCCCTGAGCTTTACTTCTAGGTTCGTGTCTGAAAAATGTTCTCTCGTGGGTCCACAGGGGGAACATGAGGCGGTGGGGACTCGGAGGCATTGTGCAGAATTATACAGCTGTTACAAGCAGCAGACTAGATGGAGACAGCAACATGGATGGATCTTAAAAGCATAGAGCTGAGTTGAGAGGATTTTAAGAATCAAATATATAAAAGTGCTATTTACATTAAAAAGATATATTCACCCAAGATAATGAATATTTCACAAGAATGGATAGAAATAAAAGACCCGGCCGGGTTCAGTGGCTCACGCCTGTAATCCCAGCACTTTGGGAGGCCAAGGCGGGCGGATCACGAGGTCAGGAGTTCAAGACCAGCCTAGCCAACATGATGAAACCCTGTCTCTACTAAAAAACACAAAAATTAGCTGGGCATGGTGGCGCATGCCTGTAATCCTAGCTACTCCGGAGGCTGAGCAGGAGAATTGCTTGAACCGGGACCCCAGAGGGGAGGTTGCAGTGAGCTGAGATGGCACCACTGCACTCCAGCCTGGGCTACACAGCAAGACTCCATCTCAAAAAGAAAAAGAAAAGAAAAAAAGAAATAAAAGATCCAATGATGTTATCGAAGAGTACTTCAAATGCAAGAAATGAAGAAATAAATCTTTGGCTCACACACACAAAA